AAGCTGCTCCTCCCGTCTGCTTCCACCGTGGAGCCACTTTCAGGGTGTTGATGTGCAGATACGAGCGCTGTGCACACACTTTGTTCTCTGCGAGACCCTCACGTCTCCAGGCTGTCTCCTCTGGGTGTGAGTCCTGCACGGCACGGGCTGCAGGGTGGTGACCCCTGAACCCCGCAGGGCACAGCTGGGTTTTCTGGAGGTTCACTGTGACCCTGACCGAGCTCTGCAGAAATTTAAAAGGGTATCCACGAGTGAGGGCTTTACTCCGAGCTGCAGGGGTGGTCTTAGCGGAAAACCCCAGGAGCTGGGACACGAGTGTTAACCCGAGGATCAGTGCACCACCTGTGAGCTTCAATATGTTTATGAAAAGACTGTTCAGGTGTAGTTTGGGATCAGCTTCAGGTCAGACACATGCCTGCACATTCATGTCACAGAGTTATTTCCGGTCATGTGTCTGCTGCTGCTTCATTTTCATGTTAAACAGTAACATAAAAATCCCTGAGCCCAAAACTCAGGCTGCTCCAAACACTCTGTCTGTCACACGTTTTTCTACTCCTGGATCTGCGTGATGTCACAGAGAGTGAATAGAAGCTCCACCCACCTGCTGTTTAGTGAAGGTTGTGTTAAAGTGGGAGGAGCTAAATCATACTAGCTGTATTATTGAATCATAACACCTGAGAGCCAGAAACCTGTAAAATTATACCTGCGATTAATCAAACTTCAGTGTCTGTTAGCATAAAACCGTTACAGTTACGTTCAATGTTACTACAGTTTAATTGTGTTTTAAATGTAGCCTTTGCAGTGGTGCGTTTACAGCCCTCTGGTAAAACCCAGACTCGCTCACTGCTTAGTTCAGTTCAAGCCAAGATGGCAGAAGGATGGACTTTTGTTTACAGGGTCTATGTGAAGAATTAAAACTCAAAGTTTCAGTAGGTGTAGGTGTATCTGTGTGTCACCTGGTCCACCTGTGGCTTCAGCTCTCCATCCTCAGGATGATTGGTGGTCTCCCTTTTGAGACGAGCTGTACTGAACATTCGAGCAGCTTTTATTTATCTTTGGGTCTCTCTTTAGAAATCCTTTATTCAGACCAGCGTACTGTTGCTGTCCTCGTCTGTCTGTGACGGCGTTCAGGTATCGAGGGCTGTAATTGAGGCGGAACCTCGCCGGTGACCGATCCCTGCTCGTGCTTGTGATGTGATGACAGCTGATTGTAGCTGTTAACAGGTTCTCTGGATGTTCACAGTTCTTCTTGGAAGTAATGAGTCAGTGCAAAGCTGTAAAGCTGTGGGAGGTGTAAAAGCTGCCGTCGGCTGTGTTACTATGTGTGACCGAGTTGGACTGCTGGGGTGACTTTTTTAGAAAAAATGAGCCTCACCCAGACAGGAAGCCAACACGCTCAGATGCCTCAGGAGGGGGTTATTGTTATTAGTTTGTACTGTCTGATG